TCAGAATCCTGATTTAAGGATATAATAATAAGCAATAATGAGCAGTGATATTTAATCAGTAATAAAAAAAATCTCCGAACAAAAAAACAGCTTAGGATCAGATGGATTCACAGCTGAATTCTAAACCTACCAAACCTACAAAGAAGAACTGGTAGCAATTCTGAAACTGTTCTAAAAGATTATCGAGAGACTCCTCCATAATTCATTCTATAAAATCAGTATCACCTCAATACCAAAACCAGGAAAAGCCACAACAACAGAAAGAGCTATTGACTGATATCATTGATGAATATAGCTGTTAAAATCTTCAACAAAATACTAGCAAATGGACTCAAAGCACATCAAAAAAATAATTTACCACAATAAAGTGGATTTCCTCCCAGAAATACAAGAATTATTTAATATTCACAAATCAATAACTATCATTCTTCATATAAACAGAATTAAGAGCACAAACTATGTGATTATCTCAATTGATGCAGTAAAAAACATTTAAAATCTAACATTCCTCCATGACAAAACCTCACAAAACCTAGCATTAGAAGGAATACACATCAAAATAAGAAAAGCCATATTTAACAAACCCATAGCCAATATCATACTGAGTGCAGAAATGCTTAAGGCATTCCCCTAAGTACTGGAATAAGGCAAGGATGTCCACTTTCATCATTGCTGTTCAACATAATACTGGAAGTCCTAGCCAGAGCCATTGGACAAGAGAAAGTAATAAAAGATCTCAAAATTGGAAAAGAAGATATCAAACTAACTCTGTTTGCCATCAATATGATCTTATACATAAAATATCTTTAAAACTCCTCCAAAGATGACTAGAAGTGGTAAATTCAGCGAAGTCTTAGTTATAAAACCAAGATACACAAATCAGTAGCATTTCTGTACACTAACAACAAAGCTGAAGATCAAATTAAGAACTTAATCCCATTTGTAATAGCAGAAAAATTTTTAAAAACTTTGGAGTATACATAACAAAGAAGTTGAATGATCTCTTTTAGGAGAACTACAAATCACTACAATCACTAATGAAAGAAACCACAGATGACACAAACAAGTTGAAAAGTATCCCATTCTCATGGAATGGAAGAATCAAAATGTTCATACTGCCAAAGCAGTCTATAGACTCAATGCAATTCTCATCAAAATACCAGTGCTGTTCTTCCACAGAATTAGAAAAAAATCCTAAAATTCATGTAGAATCAAAAATAAGCATGAATAGCCAAAGCAATTCTATGCAAAAAGAAGAAATTTAGAAGCACCACACTGATTTGAAATTATACTACAAGGTTAGAAAAACCATAACAGGGTGGTACTAATATAAAAGTAGGCACATAGATCAACAGAACAGAATAAAGAACCCAGAAATAAAACTAAATACCTTCAACCAACTGATCTTTGACCAGCCAAGCAAAAATGTACACTGGGTAAAGGACCTGCTATTTGATAAATGGTTCTAGGAGAATTGGATAGCTACATGTAGAAGCATGAAACTGGATCCCTATCTCTCACCACACACAAAATTAACTGAAGATGGATTAAACACTTAAATGTATGACATGAAACCATAAAAATATTAGAAGAAAACGTAGGAAAAACTGTTTGACATTGGCCTAAGTAAAATATTTATGACTAAGACCCCAAATCAAATACAACAAAAGCAAAAATGAACAAAGGTGGCTTAATTAAGATAAAACCCTCTTCCCAGAAAAAGAAATGATTAGCAGAGTGAATAGAAAACCTATAGAGGGCAGCGCCTATGGCTCAGTGAGTAGGGCACTGGTCCCATATACCAAGGTTGGCGACTTCTAACCTGACCCCGGCCAAACTGCAACAAAAAATAGCTGGGCGTTGTGGTGGGCACCTGTAGTCCCAGCTACTTGGGAGGCTGAGGCAGGAGAATTGCCTAAGCACAAGAACTGGAGGTTGCTGTGAACTGTGACGCTACAGCACTCTACCGAGGGTGACAAACTGAGACTCTGTCTCTAAAAAACAAAAAAAACAAAAAAAAAAAAGAAAGAAAGAAAGAAAGAAAAAAGAAAACCTATAGAATTGGAGAAAATTAGTCCTGACAAAGGACTAATATCGAGAATATAAGAAACTTGAACAAATGAACAAGAAACAAACAAACAAAAAACCCCAAATAACTCCATTAAAAAGTGGGCAAAAGATATGAAAAGACATTTTTCAAAAAAAGAGAAACACATCACCAAGAAACATGTAAAAAACACTTAATCATCAGTAAAATGCAAGTTTAAATCACCTTATTCCTGCAAGAATGGTCATTATTAAAAAGTCAAAAACAGTAGATGCTAATATGGGTGGAGTGAAAAGGGAATGCTTTTAACTCCATTAAATCTTAATGCTAATAACTAATGTTAATGCTAATGCTAATAACGCCACTAAAAAGTGGGCAAAAGATATGAACAGACATTTTTCAAAAAAAGAGAAACACATCACCAAGAAACATGAAAAAATGCTTAATATCATTAATCATCAGGAAAATGAAAATTTAAACCACCTGATTCCTGCAAGAAAATTATTAAAAAGTCAAAAACAATAGATGCCTATATGGATGGAGCATAAAGGAAATGCTTATACACTGTTGGTGGGAATATAAATTAGTATATCCTCTATGGAAAACAGTATGAAGATTTCTCAGAGAAAAAGTAGATTTACAATTCAATCCATCAATCCCACTACTGGGCATATACTCAAAGGAAAAAAGTTGTTTTCTTAAAAAAAAAAAATGCCTGTGCTTATATGTTTAAAACAGCATAATTCACAATTGCAAAGATAAGGAACTAACCTAAGTGCCACCAACTTAAGAGTAGGTAAAGGAAATGTTGTATATATACACACACATATTGGGGAATACTACTGGTGTGTAGTATGAAACAATGTTTTTTCTTGCAAATTAGATGGAACTGGAGACCACTATCCTTAGTGAAGTAACCCAAGAACAAAAAACAAACACTGCATGTTCTTGTATATACATAGTATAAGTCTGAGCTGAGCAATGGGAATGCATGCTCATACAGAGTGACAATGGGCACTAGAGATTCTGAAGGGGGAGGTTGAAAGGGGAAGTAGGATGGAAATTATCTATTTGGTACAGTGTACACTTCAGGTGATGGGTACACTGAAAACCTAGACTTTACCACTATACCATTTATCTGTGTGACAAAAAAAATTGTACCCCTGAAATATATTAAAATAAAATATTAAAATACTCAAAGAAAAAATGAAAAAAAATAATTCAATAGCTGTATTTAATAAGAGATTATACAGAGCAGAACACTATAACCGTCAGACATTCTGAGCTCACTATGCTCTATAGGCCTGTCTGTGGCATAAATTTTCTCCTAGGTTTCTTCTATGTCATTAACCTAAGCAAATCATGCTACCATTTCTGCTTTATTGCGTTTCCTCCACTCTGGTGGCTCTCTCCTTGGAAAGTTGCAGGTAACATTCTTCAGGTCCTTCAAAGATCCATCATGGAATT